ACTATATCCGGTCTCCCACAATACACAGAACATGGAAGTGCAATTATTTTAGTAGATACAAACTGCTAAATATCTTTTCTCATCAGCAGTTAGATCAGTCTTGTGACTTCTATCAGTGTTCAGCCAAGCACATGTTAAAGCTTGTAGGAGGAATTTTCATTCTGCTCTAGGAGGATGCAAAACCCCTGACCTCTGTCTGGACAGTGCTGATTGGCCCTGTGCTGATCACATGCACTCCCCCCCCCAAACCCCCCCCCCCCCCCCCCCCCTAGCGGAACACACTAAACTAAGCATGTGCAGAGTGACTGTCTTGTCAGAGGGACACTGGAAGAAGATGAGGATCAGAGAAGACTCTGCTCCATTCAGCAGGGGATCCCGGAACACATCACCTGCTGAATTGGAGCTGAATGGGATGGATGTCAGTTTTGTGACATCCATGACATTGAGTTTGTGTTTGCATTTTGACAACTGGCTGTGGCATACTCATGATGGCTCTATGGGAAGCCAGGTGTAACAGACTTGTGTCTGTTCACATTAGGCTACCTCACATTTAGGCTGGGAAAAAAAAAGAATGCATTCTTTTCCTGTTTTTTTTTTTTTAACCTGGGCGGATCCAGAGGTAGGTGGATGTAAATGGACACAAGTCTGTTTACAGCATCTTGCCCATAGACCTGCATGGAGCTTCTGATCAGGTCTTATAATTCTATATAACAACACTTAACCCTATAATATCCCAGAAAAGTAATCTACCTTCACCCTTGAAGGCCAGCTAGACAATATATATGTGACTTTTCTATGAACAAATAAAATACAATAAATAAATAAAATAAAATAAAATAACACCAGCACAAAACATCAGACCATAAAAATAAAATAAAATAAAAATATGTCCAAAATCCCACCGTGTCCAAAAACAATTCAAAATATAAAATCAAAAATCCAAAAATATAACAAAAAATAATCCCCACAGGTGTAAAGTGAGAGCTTAAACTTTTCCTTCTTCTTTCATCACCAAAACCTTCTTAATACCCGCAAATCCTGATGTTCATACACCTCAAAAAGGAAAAAAAAAACTCGACATAGTGTCATACCTTAAATAATATAAATATGGCATGTGTGTTTTATATTATTTAAGGTATGACACTATGTCGAGTTTTTTTTTCCTTTTTGAGGTGTATGAACATCAGGATTTGGGGGTATTAAGAAGGTTTTGGTGATGAAAGAAGAAGAAAAAGTTTAAGCTCTCACTTTACACCTGTGGGGATTATTTTTTGTTATATTTTTGGATTTTTGATTTTATATTTTGAATTGTTTTTGGACACGGTGGGATTTTGGACATATTTTTATTTTATTTTATTTTTATGGTCTGATGTTTTGTGCTGGTGTTATTTTATTTTATTTATTTTATTTATTTATTTATTGTATTTTATTTGTTCAAAGAAAAGTCACATATATATTGTTCTGATCAGGTCTGCCTGAAAAACTCACAGGTGGACCTTATCAAAAAGTCCATAGTAAAGTGTTCTCTAAGCTTCATCCACAAGATGAGAATATTGGGTAAAAAAAATGCTTTCAGAGTGATCGTCCAATAATCTGATCATTAGTACTTTTGAGAGCCGATCATGACAGTTCATGTGAAAATATCTGAAGGGACAAGCACAAACATTTTTCTCGTACGATAACAGAACAAATGATTTTTGTGTAACTAATATAGTATTTGTATGAAAAAAATCAAGTGACCACGACTGCACATGCCGGGAAACGAAAGAATACATTACAATATAAAAAAATACATTACGTTATGTCTGAAGTTGTATTCTGTCTTACGAGAATTTTCATAACTTTAGTAACCTTTTCATTTTCAATATTAGACTAGCATGCAAAAAAAAAAAAAATAATAACAATTTGTCCAATATTCTCATCGTGTGTGTTAGAGTTGGGCTTGATGTTCGAGTCGAAAGTAAGTTTGACTCGAACATCAGCCGTTCGTGTGTTCGGTGAACACGAGTGGTAAGAGTGTTCGACTGACTGTTTGCCCACCAGGTCCCACAATGCACTGCGCCCTGACAATGCACTGCACTTGACCACATTTGGCCAATCACAATTCATGATGACGTCACAAGGGCGCTCCCTTGTAACTTCATCATAGTATTGAAGAACTCTCATCCCGGCGCAGCTGTCAGATGGCGGGAACCAGCATCGAGAGTGGAGCATTTTTTTTTGGGTGTCAGTGGTGGCGGCCAGCATCGTGATTGATGTTGGATCCACTTCAGGGGACATTTTTTTTATTTTTGTTTTTAATAAAGGACTTGTCAAATACTCCTGTACTTTTTTACACTACATTTTTTTTTTATGTAAAGAGTAGCGGTACCATGTACCTCATACTTATTCACATGGGGGGCAGGATCTGAGGCCCCTTGTTAAAGGGGGCTTCCAGATTCCGATAAGCCCCCCGCCTGCATACCCCCACAACAGTTGTGGGGAAGAGGCCCTTGTCCCCATCAACATGGGGACAAGGTGCTTTGGGGGGGACCTCCCTTGCTCCAAAGCACCCCTCCATGTTGAGGGCATGTGGCCAGGTATGGTTTTGGGGGGCGTTCGCTCGTCCCCCCCTTTTCCTGACCTGCCAGGCTGAATGCTCGGATAAGGTTCTGGTATGGACACTCCAGCTTTTAAAAATTTTGGTGTAGGGGGTTTCCCTCAAAATCCATACCAGACCAGAAGGGCTTGGTATGAATGGCTGGAGATCCCACACATCTTTTTTCTTTCATTTTTTAATTGCTGGGCAATGCCGGCAATTCTTTTTACATTCAGCTGTCAGCCAGGAACCCTGCTGACAGCTGAAACATTAAAGAATGTTTTCACTTAATAATATAACTCATGCGGTATTTTAGTAGCTGTGCGGTATCTTACAGCATACTCGGATGTGGTAAGATACTGCTCAGTGAGTTGTCCCTGTTTGAAGTTCGTGGTTGAATGTTCGTTAGGTTCGAATGTTCTACAACGAACTGAACAGGGGGGGTGTTCGGCCCATCACTAGTGTGTACAAGACTGACACCAAGGGTGGAGGACTCTCAAGCAAAGTACTGAGGCAGGTTGCTGTGATGTTTTCAGGAAGCTATGCACAGTACACTGGTGGCTCTTCCCACCAGCTATAACCAACGGTTGCACGGGCACGAGATCCCATTCATTTGATTGGACTCCTGTGCCCATGACACACAGAGAAGAAGTCCCTGCACTTCTTTGGAAAACGCAGCCCGCACGGGAACCTCGGTTCCCAGTACGGTTGCATTTTCCAGTGCAGGCGGCGTGTCATTAGAACTAATGGCACCCGCCCGCGGGTCCGCATTTCCCTGTGCAGGTGGTGCGGCTGCGTTGATTTTCATGCGGATCTGCAGCGGCACCACCCACACAGATGTGAACCTAGGGTAAAAGTATGTTGCTTGGATTCCATAGAGAAGTACAGGGATCCAGTGATGACATCTCCGGGTCCACAAAAAGCTATGTAATGAAATGGAGAGGTTTTACTTAAAAATGTAATTGGCAGGTTGTTGAAGGGGAGAGGGAAGAGCAGGGGCGGATGGACCATTTGGAAACTCAGGCACTACCCGAGGGCCCGGGGTCAGTAGGGGGCCCCATGAGATGCCCCTGGTACCTTTTTCACAGGCTTTTTTGAGTTTGGGCAAGGACACAGGGGCCCCATGATCCCCTATTGCCCGGGGACCCCAGGAGTTGTCAGTCCGCCCCTGGGGAGGAGTCAAGTAAAGCAAAATACCAGCAGATTCAACAGCTCGAAGAATATGCTCACCTTACCCTGCCTATGTCAATTGTACACTATGTAAATATCTATAGTCTTTGCAATAACCTTCTACTGTTCATCAAGCAGCAAACAACTGTGTTTTAAACAAAGGTAAGTGAGCTACTATAGAGAACCCAATTTTACACCATATGTCATATTGAGTCACACAGCACTGTAATCATATTAAGACCTGCACCCACTCAATGGCCATTTTCAGTTAAGACGTCGAGTCAGTCAATCATGCACAGCCAGAAATCGCTCACATACAGACGCCTACTCTAACAGGCTCCTCTGTAATAATCATTCGCTGTGATTGAAACTCATCTATTTCCAGTAACCTCCACCCTTTATTTCTACCTTAAAGGTCACCACAGTCACTTAATAAATTCCACAGATGATATGGAACTGCTCTAATACATCCTGCAGCACTGATATCTCCTAGCCGTCCTCCACTCTTACTTCTTATGACCTGTTTTAAGAGTTCTCATTTATGTTTATGTAAAACACATTATGATGCAGCTACACTTCGGAAGTATCTATAGTTAGAAGTTTGAAAAAAGATAAACAATACTATAGTAATTATTTACAAAATATAATTATATTAACCGCTTTCTCGCCACCCTATAGCAGAAGTACTGCTACAGGGTGGCAGGGTGCGCAAAATCACGTGATTTGCTTTGCTGGGTAGGGGGCACGTGCGTGCCCAATCTGCGCTGCCATTGGCTTATCGGGATGTCAATCACTGGGTCCCAGGCGGCGATTCCCGGCCGGGACTCAGTGATTGTTGGTAGGGCTGAGAGAGGAGAGATCTGTGTGTAAACAGCACAGATCTCTCTCCTGTCAGCATGAACATGCTGCTTTGTATCTCTCTGCACGGCATAGAGATACAAAGCAGCATGTTTCCCTAGTAAAACACAGCATACAATGTGAAACAGACACAGCCAGCTGTCAAAATGCAAACACAAACTCAACGTCATGGATGTCACAAAACTGACATCCATCCCATTCAGCTCCAATTCAGCAGGGGATCTGTTCCAGAATCCTCTGCTGAATGGGGCAGAGTGGCACCATATGAAAGGGCCCTTAAAGTGTTACTCAACCCTCAACAGTAAAATCAGTCTGTATATGCAGTAAAGCATGCTTTGTATACTCACTGTGGAACCTAAGGGGGTTAATCCTCTGCATTGTGTAAAAAGGCCGTTTGATCCTCACTTCTCTGCTTCTCCTCTTGTTCAAATGCCCACGTCTTATCTCCTAATAAGAAACACTGAGCCGTAGCCATTCTGCACATGCTTAGTGTGTATTGTTGGAGAGGTTTTTTTTTTCTTGGGAGAGTGCATGTGATCCACACATTTATTTATTATTTATATATTTCAGGTACTTATATAGCACTGTCAATTTATGCCACACTTTACATATATATTGTACATTCACATCAGTCCCTAACCCTCAAGGGGTGTACAATCTAAGGTCCCTAACTTACATTCATACATACACATACTAGGAACAATTTAGATAGGATCCAATTAACCTACCAGCATGTCTTTGGAGTGTGGAAGGAAAGCTAAACACCGGAGGAAACCCACACAAGCACAGGGAGAACATGCAAACTCCATGCAGGAGGCACCATGGTCAGGAATTGAACCCACGACCCCTTTACTGCAAGGCAAACATGCTAACCACTAAGCCACTGTGCCGCCCACATGGCCAATCAGCACTGTCCAGACAGAGGTCAGGGGTTTTGCATCCTTCTAGAGCAGAAAACTAACTCCTACAAGCTTTAACCAGTGCTCTGCTGGACACTAATAGAAGTCACAAGACTGCTCTAACTGCTGATGAGAAAAGGTATTCAGCAGTTTATATTTACTAGAATAATTGCATTTCCATGTTCTGTGTATTGTGGGAGACCAGATATAGTGAATGCAGGGTCGTGGGTTTAGTACCACTTTAACCCTTTGATCGCCCCAGATGTTAACCTGCCCAGTGTCAATAGTACCGTGTCAGTGCTTTTTTATTAGCTCTGATCACTGTGTTAGTGTCTCTGGGGGTGTCAATCTTATATAAGTCACTGATCGCCGCCATTACTAGTATATATATATATAAAAAAATTCCAGTATATATATCACTATTTGTAGACGCTATAACTTTCACGTAAACTAATTAATTTACGCGTATTGTGATTTTTTTTTGCAAAGACATGTAGCAGAATACATTTTGGCCTAAATTTATGAAGAAATTTGATTTTTAATTTTTTTTTCACTGGACATGTTTTATAGCAAAAAGTCAAAAATATTGTTTTTTTTTCAAAACTGTTGGTCTTTTTTTGCTTATAAAAAAACACAGAGGTGATAAAATACCACCAAAAGAAAGCTCTATTTGTGGGGAAAAAATTGACATAAATTTCATTTATATACAATGTTGCATGAACACACAATTGTCAGTTAAAGCACCACAGTGCAGTATCACAAAAAAATGGCCTGGTCAGGAAGGGGGGTAAATCCTCGGGAGGGCAAGTGGTTTAAAGCAGATTTCAATTTGGCCAACCTTATTCTTTGAGTGTATGTAAAGCCCAATTTTTTTTAGTTTTGGTTAGAGTAGGTAAAGGTTAAAACCCAGTCAGGTTATGTTTTGCTGTCCTGTTCTTCCCTATAATTTTCAGTCTCAGAAATGCAACAGAAAGTGAGAAGAAATCTCCCCAATGTGGGAGGAATTTTTATCTGTGATACTATTGTCAGCAGAGCAAACATCTTGCTCAAAAAAAATTGAATTTCCTTTAACCACTTGAGTTCTGGAAGATTTTTTGCTATTTAGCAGTGTGCTACTTTAACTGGTAATTGTAGGGCCATGCAACACTATATACAAATGAAATTTATATATTTTTTTTTCACCTGGTACACAGAGAGCAAAAAAAAATGACAGGTTCTCACTATTCTATATAAAATGGGAAAAAAAAGCAAACCTGTTTGCCTTTTGTCTCGTGTGAGAGGAGTCAGTTGTTGTGGGGGTATTTACTAAAGCTGGAGAGTGTAAAATCTGGTGCAGATCTGCATAGAAATCAATCAACTTCCGGGGTTTATTGTCAAAGCTTAATTGAAGAAGCTGAAATTAGAAGCTGATTGGCTACCATGCACAGCTGCACCAGATTTTGAGTGCTCCAGTTTTAGTAAATCTCCCCCTGTATTTACAGTAAGCATTCTACAGCTGCTGTTTTGCTAAAGCTGTCCTTGAGTGGTTGGTTTCTTGTTTGTTCAGCCTTCAGCCACACTGAGGAGGAAGATGGAGGAATCTCCAACCCCCCTTTCTGGTGGGACATTGTAATCTGACAATGGAGATGAGAACAGTGGGAAGGTCTTTTAGTAGTTTAACAAAAGACAACTGGGTAGGGCTGACACCATTTAGTCTACAAAAAGGCTGTGTGTTGTCAGCCCAACAACAAGTATGTATTGTTAGGAGCTAAGGGCTTCCTGTACACTGCAGCTGCTAAACTGACGTTCATGAGTTTTTCTGCGCTTTTTTTCAGCAGCCCTGAACTCTCCCTAATGTTTTCCTATGTGTCCATGTACACTATGTCATCTGTGATACTATTGTCAGCAGAGCAAACATCTTGCTCAAAAAAAAATTGAATTTCCCTTTAACCACTTGAGTTCTGGAAGATTTTTTTGCTATTTAGCAGTGTGCTAACTTTAACTGGTAATTGTAGGGCCATGCAACACTATATACAAATGAAATTTATATGTTTTTTTTTTTTTCACACAAATAGGGCTTTCTTTTGGTGGTAGCCTTTTGATCCCCACCAGGTTTTTAACTTTGCGCTATAAACAAAAAAATACTGAAAATGTTTTGGTAGGGAAAAAAAAACAACACATATTTACTTTCTGCTATAAAACTTATCCAATAAAATATATCCAATAAAATAAAAATCTAATTTCTTCATAAAATTTGACCAAAATGTATTCTGGCTTTGATAAAAAAAATCCCAATAAGCATATGTTGATTGGTTTGCAAATTATAGTGGCTACAAACTTTGGTATATACACTCACCGGCCACTTTATTAGGTACACCTGTTCAATTGCTTGGTAACACGAATTGCTAATCAGCCAATCACATGGCAGCAACTCAATGCATTTAGGCATGTAGACATGATGAAAACAACTTGCTGAAGTTCAACCTGAGCATCAGAATGGGAAGTAAAAAGGGATTTAAGTGACTTTGAACGTGGCATGGTTGTTGGTCCCAGACAGGCTGGTCTGAGCATTTCAAAAACTGCTGATCTCCTGGGATTTTCACGCACAACCATCTCTAGGGTTTACAGAGAATGGTCAGAAAAAGAGAAAATATCCAGTGAGCGGCAGTTGTGTGGACAAAAATACCTTGCTGATGTCAGAGGTCAGAATAGTGTATAAATAAAGTGCAGCGCTAATAAAAGTGACAATAAAAGTTCATACAATTTCATAAATAATAAGAGATGATAAATGATCCCAACTGTAGCAGAATTCAAATGCTTATGCTTGGAAGTAATAGTAAAACTGCGCACTCACCAGATGCGCATTGAATATGCTCATGTAAAATATATCCACCACGGACCACTTAGGGAAGTGGGGTATGTCAGGCGTCTGGTGAACTTCCTTCTAGGTATGGAACAGCACAGCAGTAAATCTTGGGATTAAGTGAAATCTGCTCATCCAGAGGTCCCCTCTAGGATGGATGGGTCTGCAGCCTGTTTACAGGGATTCCCTCCTCTGGGTGCTGGATAAGTAAGGATCATCTCCAGGCTCTGTAATTTAATAGCATTTCTTAGATGTTACAGCTGCATTAGCTTTCTTTTTAAGGCTCTTGCAATTTCACCAGCGGCCGGGCAGAGGAAAGAGACGAGGCACCTGGTACACAGAGAGCAAAAAAAAAATGACAGGTTCTCACTATTCTATATAAAATGGAAAAAAAAGCAAACCTGTTTGCCTTTTCTCGTGTGAGAGGAGTCAGTTGTTGTGGGGGTATTTACTAAAGCTGGAGAGTGTAAAATCTGGTGCAGATCTGCATAGAAATCAATCAACTTCCGGGTTTATTGTCAAAGCTTAATTGAAGAAGCTGAAATTAGAAGCTGATTGGCTACCATGCACAGCTGCACCAGATTTTGAGTGCTCCAGTTTTAGTAAATCTCCCCCTGTATTTACAGTAAGCATTCTACAGCTGCTGTTTTGCTAAAGCTGTCCTTGAGTGGTTGGTTTCTTGTTTGTTCAGCCTTCAGCCACACTGAGGAGGAAGATGGAGGAATCTCCAACCCCCCCTTTTCTGGTGGGACATTGTAATCTGACAATGGAGATGAGAACAGTGGGAAGGATTTAGTAGTTTAACAAAAGACAACTGGGTAGGGCTGACACCATTTAGTCTACAAAAAGGCTGTGTGTTGTCAGCCCAACAACAAGTTGTTAGGAGCTAAGGGCTCCTGTACACTGCAGCTGCTAAACTGACGTTCATGAGTTTTTCTGCGCTTTTTTCAGCAGCCCCTGAACTCTCCCTAATGTTTTCCTATGTGTCCATGTACACTATGTCATTTACAGTCTTTCACAGTTGAGTTTACAGTCGTTTTTTGAATGCACCAAACTTGCGTTCAGGAGTATAATTTACCGGCATTTCAAACGACAAATGCTTGTAAACATGTGTAAATGAGGTTATCCGCGTTTATAAGCGTTTGCGTTTAGAAGTGTTTTTAACTGTTTCATATCCAGATGCTGTCCAGAGCCTTTTTTCATCATCAGAAATGCATGCAAAGCGTTTTCCATGTATTCAAATGGACCCAGTATACCAGCCCAGTCAGTTTCTGGTTTCGCGTGAAGGAAAAAATGTTAGAACATGCCGCATTATGCTCATGATGGGATCCATAGTGAATACAACCAGAAAAGACAGGTCATCTCAACACATACTGCTCTCCCTGCTTCTGCTCTCTCTATTTCTCTCAAAATGTCTGAAATAGTTAATTTTTTACTATTTTTCAGTGCATTCTGGGCATTTGGAAAAGCCTCCTGAGGTTATATTTTAAAAACGCTTCTAAATGCAAATGCGCATAAATGCGGAATGCAAACGTGACTAAACTGAAGTTTTTAACCTGCGTTTTCCAGCAGTCAGTTTCCACCGTTCAGAAGAGTTTTCCAGACGCCCCGTGTACATGAGCCCTAAGTGCATTTCTGGTACATCAACAAATATCTGTTTGTACTTGTTGGGTCTAGAGCAGGGGTCTCCAAACTTTTCAAAGGGCCGGTTTACTGTCCTTTAAACTTTAGGAGGGCCAGTTTGTGACCAGTGGGGGTAAAGAATGTCCCGGGCCCAGCATCAATGAAAATAAACATGGGGTACTATTTCTTACACTGATACCAATGATGGGGTACTATTTCTTACACTGATACCGATGATGGGGCATTATTCCTCCCATTAATACCAATGATGGGTATTAATGGGAGGAATAATGCCCCATCATCGGTATCAGTGTAAGAAATTAGTGTCCCATTGTTGGTGTCAGTGGGAGGAATAGTACTTCATATCATTGGGAGGAATAATGCCCCATCATTGGTACCAGTGTAAGAAATAGTGTCACATTGTTGGTGTCAGTGGGAGGAATAGTACCTCATATCATTGGGAGGAATAATGCCCCATCGTTGGTATCATTGGTATCCCAGTCAGTATAAGAATTAGTGTCCCATTGTTGGTGTCAGTGGGAGGAACAGTACTTCATATCATTGGGAGGAATAATGCCCCATCATCGGTATCAGTGTAAGAAATAGTGTCCCATTGTTGGTGTCAGTGGGAGGAATAGTACTTCATATCATTGGGAGGGATAATGCCCCATCATCGGTATCAGTGTAAGAATTAGTGTCACATTGTTGGTGTCAGTGGGAGGAATAGTAGTACCTCATATCATTGGGAGGAATCAAATGCCCCATCGTTGTATTGAAAACACCTGTGGATGTCACCGAGCAGCAATCAAGCATAATAAGCACCAATTAGGCAGCTTTCAAAATGTGTGTCCTTCTATCACTGTAAGAAATAGTGTCCCATTGTTGGTGTCAGTGGGAGAAGAATAGTACTTCATATCATTGGGAGGAATAATGCCCCATCGTCGGTATCAGTGTAAGAATTTGTGTCCCATTGTTGGTGTCAGTGGGAGGAATAGTACTTCATATCATTGGGAGGAATAATGCCCCATCATCGGTATCAGTGTAAGAATTAGTGTCCCATTGTTGGTGTCAGTGGGAGGAATAGTACTTCATATCATTGGGAGGAATAATGCCCCATCATCGGTATCAGTGTAAGAAATAGTGTCCCATTGTTGGTGTCAGTGGGATGAATGTAGTACTTCATATTGGGAGGAATAATGCCCCATCATCAGTATCAGTGTATGAATAAAAATAGTGTCCCATTTTGTTGGTGTCAGTGGGAGGAATAGTACTTCAAATATCATTGGGAGGAAATAATGCCCCATCATCGTATCAGTGTAAGAATTAGTGTCCCATTGTTGGTGTCAGTCAGAGGAATAGTACTTCATATCATTGGGAGGAATAATGCCCCCCATCATCGGTATCAGTGTAAGAATTAGTGTCACATTGTTGGTGTCAGTGGGAGGAATAGTACCTCATATCAATGGGAGGAATAGTGCCCCAAGGGCCGGATAAAGGCTTGCATAGGGCCACATCCGGCCCTTGGCCTGCAGTTTGGAGACCCCCTGGTCTAGAAAATAGACAACGAGGAATGTGCATGTATACATATGTTTTATTTTGATACACTTTCAAGTTGGGTTCCAGTGTCTCCTTTGGCTCTGGTTTAACAGGCATCCAAAGATCCAGCAAAGCTGCACAATAGAGTACAAGAACATGGAAATGAAATAGCACGGTTAGCACATTCTGTGTGCATTGTATGTCCATGATCTACACTGAAAATATCTAGGTGGAGTGTTTCTTTAAAGTTACTGTTCCCAAACCCTACATGAATTTAGGAATAATAAATGATTTACATTACTTGTGCAATCTTTTTTAAAATAAGTCTTGCAGAACTTTTTTCATCATTAAAATCACATTAAAACTCATGTAAGCTAGAGAAGCAGAGATTTGTTACATGTTGTTAAAGGACCATTAATTCTCAGTGTAAGATACCTGAAGCGTTACTAAAGCTGCAACAATAAAATCAGTCTGTATATGCAGTACAGCATGCTTGTTATACTCACTGTGGAACCTAAGGGGTTACTCCTCTGCATTGTGTAAAAAGGCTGTTTGATCCTGACTTCTCTGATCTTCCCTTAGTCCTCAATCCATCTGCTGATAGAATCGAGCCTTGGGGGGCAAGCTGCACATGCTCAGTTTGGTGTGTATTGCTAGAGAATTTGTTTTCTTCTTGGGAGAGAGCATGTGATCAGCAGAGGGCCAATCAATGCTATACAGATAGAGGTCAGGGGTCTTGCATCCTCCTAGAGCAGAAAGAAAATCCCTCCTACAAGCTTTAACCAGTGCTCTGCTGGACACTGATAGAAGTCAAAAGACTGCTCTAACTGCTGATGAGAAAAGGTATTTAGCAGTTTATATTTACTAAAAGTATTGCATTTCCATGTCCTGTGTACTGTGGGACACTGGATATAGTGAATACAGGGTTCTGGGTTTAGTAACACTTTAAAGTGGTGTTAAACCCCAAACCAAAAATGTAATATATTGCAACTTACCAATCATTAGATGTGGTGGCTGCATTAGTTTTCTTTTTTTTTAAGGCTTTTTTTTTCCTCTCCATTTTCATCTGGTGATTTGGCTAGTAGCACACCTCCTGTATAAGAGTGCCCCAATTCTGGATGAAGGAGCACAAGGGCACCTTTCAACAGCAGCATTTTTATTCTGGGGGGAGGAGAGTGTTAGATGGGCTAGCAGATTTAGATGCTGAAGTCAAATTCTAGCTGACACTGCAGTAACACAAGAAATCACAGCAACAATTTTGTTCCTTTTGAAATTAATATTTTACATGAATACATAAAAGCTGATCATTGTAGCACCCATCAGTGGTAAATGGTTTGTCTCAACACTAACTGCCACATTTCCAGGGCAGCTTGTTCTGCTGAAAAACATCAGACTTAGTTTTTTCACTAGGTGAAAATAAGAGAAAGAAAGTAGGTTGCATATAATAAATGTCTGCTCTTGGGTTTTATATTGCTTAAGATTTACAGGGGATTATTTACTAAAACTGGAGTGTGCAAAATCTGGTGCAACTCAGCTTCCAGGTTTTATTGCTAATGCGTAACTGAAAAAGCTGAAGTTGGAAGCTGATTGACTACCATGCAGAGCTGCATCAGATTCTGAGTGCTCCAGTTTTAGTAAATGTATTTATTTATTATAGGTACTTATATAGCGCTGTCAATTTACGCAGCGCTTTATATATATTGTGCATTCACATCAATCCCTAACCCTCAAGGGTGTACAATCTAAGGTCCCTAATGTACATTCATACATACACATACTAGGGCCAATTTATACAGGAGCCAATTCACCTACCAGCATGTCTTTGGAGTAAATGTATAATATTCTAATTACACCTATTATCATTATATATACTCAGGGGTGGACTGACATTTTTCATTTACATAGCAAAAAAAAATAAAAATCCCAGCGGTGAATAAATACCACCAACATAAAGCTTTATCTGTCTCAAAAAAAATGGTAAAAAAATTCATTTGGGTACAGTGTTGCATGACCGCGCAATTGTCATTCAAAGTGTGATAGCGCTGAAAGCTGAAAATTGCCCTGGTCAGGAAGGGGGTAAAAGTGTCCGGTCTGGAAGTGGTTAAGGGAATTCATATTAATCACTGCCAGTCCACTTCTGCAAAATATAGATTTGTTTCATATAATATGAGCCTCTGGGCCTATTATGAAAGCGTGAACATATCTTTTATCATGTGAGGGCAGCTTTTTCAGATTAAAGAGTTTTTTTTACAGTATTGCACTATTTGTGTCTTTTTATTTGTTTTTCATTGCCATCTAATCGTGGGAATCGTTTTTGGAGGATATCAAGTGCAGAGGTATCTGGGGAGGATATGCCCAGTCTATAAAGCTTGTTTGACTCTTTAGCCATACCAGCAAAGAGTCCATTCCATCTGGTGAGTGGGGATTGGAGCAGCAATCACGGATGGTGTGAGCACATTTTGGTTGAAGATTTTTTTTGAGTACTATTTTTGGGATTTAGCACAATTTATATATTTTTTTATATATCTTTGGGACTTTATTTTGGACTTTTTTCACATTAATAATTTTTTTGCACTGTGGAGTGTTTATATTGTGGGATATTGCTAGGTTCGATTTTTAGTTTTGCAAAAAAAATTGCATCTATTTTTTTTTTGCTAAAAACTTGTTAAAAATGACTTAGTACCAAATGTTTACTCTTCAATTTGTGAGCTGATTTCTTTATGTCTATGTAAATCTTTAGCTAATTCCCATCCACCACTATACTTTTCTATAGAACAGCCATAGTTTCACACAAGGGAACTGTTTAATTCTTGGCTTCAGTTTTAGCATCTCTCAGTTAGCCACGTGCAAAACAAATTAGCAGCAATAAAAAATAAAAGGAACAATTGAGTGATAGGAGAACGTGACAATTTTCTGTCATGAAACAAGCCAAACAGAGAGGGTGCACACAATAATAGGTAATAAACCTCACACACAAGAACATCATTCTTCTGTGATCTATGGTAACTGCCAAATTCCTGGCTGAAAATCCACGTTCCGAATGAGGAAAACTACACTTCCTTACATGCATTCCGCTCGGCAGCTTGGCTAATAAAACAAAGCTTCCATTGATTAAAGCAGGACATCACGGAAAGCTTCCTTGTAAAGTGATACAATAACATAACACAATGTTTAGCCTAAAACCTTAACAACTTGTTCAGGACCACAAAATGACTTTCGCTGAAGATTTACAATAGATCAGGTTTCCAACTTTTTCTTTTTTTGCCATAGTATAGCTAAAATTGGGCCAAGAATTACAAGCACGGTTTCTGTTTTCTTCAGACCAATTTGGACCACCTATGTCAGGGTAGCGAGTGTCTTTGGCAGTTAGAGGTACTTTCTACACTGTTGGAAAGTCTTCCTGTGAGCTGGTCATTGATCCTTTTTTTTCCGATCAAATGAATGTGAATATGCTATTGTCAACAGGGGTGTACTTGCCGCAAGGCAAACAAAGCGTTTGCCTAGGGGGCGGTACTTTTCAGGGGGGCAGTGCGGACAGGAGCTGATGCAGGGGCGGACTGACAACTCATGGGGCCCCTCGGGCAATTGGGGATCATGGGGCCCCTGTGTCCTTGCCCAAACTCAAAAAAGCCTATGAAAAAGGTACCAGGGGCATCTCATGGGGCCCCCTACTAACCCCGGGCCCTCGGGCAGTGCCCGAGTTTCCAAATGGTCAGTCCTCCCCTGGGCTGATGTGTCTTATCTGTCTCTGCGACTCCGTGCCCCATGAGGCACTGCTGGAGGAGGGGTCCAGTCCAGTGTCTTCATCTCCCTGGATCTTGGATGGCAATGTGGGTGGGATGACATGCCGCCCCTCTCATCTGGCCACACCCCCAGGATCACTGGGCAGCCTATGGCAGCCTGTCCCTCCCTCTCCAAGCTCCACCTCCTCGCCGGTGATTGGCCGCCAGATCTGTAGCTCAGGGAAAGCATGCAGGTGGCCAAGCATCGGCGAGGAGGCAGAGCTTGGAGAGGAGGAGCATTGCGGCAGCACAAAGATCGAAGAAGCTGATCAGAATAATGGATCAGCCAGAGCCAGCGAAGAGAAGGAGAGCGGCTGGAAAAAGGAAGACAGCTGATCGGTAAGGTAAGTGTCTGTGCGGCCAGGATTTTTCAGAGCAGATGATGCTGCTGCAGCCAGGTATATGGATGGGTGAGAGAGGGAGCCCGGGCTGGAGCAGGGGTCAGCACAGCAATGTAAGCATCATTGGTGTCAGTGGGAGTAATAGTGCCCCATAATTAGTGTCAGTGTGGGAGGAATAGTACCCCATCATTGGTGTCACTGACAATGATGGGGCACTATTCCTCCCACTGACACCAATGATGGGGCACTATTCCTCCCACGGACACCAATGATGGGGCACTATTCCTCCCACTGACACCAATGATGGAACACTATTCCTCCCACTGACACCAATGATGGGGCACTATTCCTCCCACTGACACCAATGATGGGACACTATTCCCCACACTGACTCCAATGATGGGGCACTATTCCTCCTTCCACTGACACCAATGACGGGGCACTATTCATCCCACTGACACCAATGATGGGACACTATTCCTCCCACTGACACCAGTGATGGGGCACTATTCCTCCCACAAACACCAATGATGGAGCACTATTTCTTCCACTAATACCAATAATGGGGCACTATTCCTCCTACTGACACCAGTGATAGGGCACTATTCCTCCCACTGACACCAATGATGGGGCACTATACCTTCCACTGACACCAGTGATGGGGTACTATTCCTCCCACTGACACCAATAATGGGGCACTATACCTTCCACTGATACCAGTGATGAGGCACTATTTCTCCAAATGACACCGATAATGGAATAAAATAATAGGTGGAGCTCTAATAGGAAGAGGTGGAGCCTAAAGAGGAAGGGTGGAGTTTTACAGATGATGGGGTGGATCTTAAACAGCAAGGGGGTGGGACAAATTTAGATAGGGGGGTGCCCGATTTTTGTCTTGTCAAGGGCAGCACAGAACAAAAATACACCACTGATTGTCAGGTTCTAGCACTTGTACAGTTTATTCAAGGGCAGTCAAAAATCTCCCAGTATATGTGCATGTTGGAAATTTTTGTTTAGATTCAGATTCATTCGTTTATTGAAGAATTTTGTTTTGTCATATTTGTCATGTTGAACAGATTCATTTTCAGAATTCTTTTTGCATCTTTGGCTTTCGTTTTTTATATTTGTTGGTCCGAGTGGATTTGAAAAATTTTGAACTTTTTTCAGAAGATTGCTGTATATTTTGGGTAGATTCGATATTCATATATCAAAACTATTGGGAAAGGATTCAATAGTTACTAACGCAATGGAATAAATTATGAAAAATTAACATTTTTCAGACCTAACAATTACATTAGACCTCATACACACAGGAAGCTTTTGCAATCACTTTAACTGCCTCCCGCCCGCCATGAAGTAAAATGACGGACGCAAGGTGGTTCTCTCGTTCTGGGAGGATGTCATATGACGTCCTCCCATTCTAACTGCGCATGCGCTGCGCCCGGAGCACGCAGAGCGGCAAACGGCGGTGCGTTGTGTCCCTAGGACACAGCGGATCACCGATCCACAGAAAGAGCCAAAGATGTCGGCTTGGTCATGTGATCAGCTGTGTCCAATCACAGCTGATCACATGTAAATAGGGAAATGCCTGTTATCGGCATATCTCTCCCCACGAGCTGTCACGCTGACAGCTCGTGAGGAGAGAAGAGCCGGTAATCGGCATTCCTTGGAGGGGACATCTACACTGATCATCAGAGCACTGATGATCAGTGTGCCCTGATGATCTGTGTAGCCCCAGCAGTGCCACCTGTAAGTGTGCATCAGTGCCAGCTCTCAGTGCTCATCCATGCCACCTGCCAGTGCCCATCAGTGCCACATCAATGCCACATATCAGTGCCCATCTGAGCTGCCTTTCAGTGTCACCCATCAGTGCCAGTCAGTGCCACCTATCAATGCCAGTCAGTGCCACCTATCAGTGCTGCCAATCAGTGCCAGTCAGTGGCGCCTATCAGTGTCAGTCAGTGCCGCCTATCAGTGTGCATCGGTGCCACCTATCAGTGCTAGTCAGTGCCGCCTATCAGTGCCATATATGAGTGCTGCTTTTCAGTGCCCATCAGTGATGCCTGTCAATGCCCATCAGTGCCACCTACCAGTGCCTCCTCATCAGTGTCCATCAGTGCCACCTATCAGTGTCCATCAGTGCAGCCTATCAGTGCCCATCAGTGCAGCCTCATTAGCGCACATCAGTGAAGGAGAAAAATCACTTATTTACAAAATTTTATAACAAAAACTAAGAAAAACTTTTTTTCCCAAAATTTTCAGTGGTTTGTGGTTTGTTTAAGACAAAATAAAAAACCCAGAGGTAATTAAATACCACCAAAATAAAGCTCTATCTGTCACAAAAAAATGATAAAAATTTCATATGGGTACAGTGTTGCATAACCGTGCAATTGTCATTCAAAGTGCAACAGCGCTGAAAGCTGGAAATTGGCTTGGGCAGGAAGGGGGTCTAAGTGCCCTGTAGGCTAGTGGTTAAGTCCTCATGCACATGGGACGTTTTGATAACGCTGGTAACATTAGTTGTGTAAAGTCATGTTAAAAACATGAGTTTTTCAGCTTTTTTTAGGGTTTTTGCATTAGCGTTTAGTGGCATTTTCCTGCGTTTGCGCTTTTAGCGGTTTTTAACCAAAAATGTCGGTTTTTGGCATTTTACCGTGTTTTGCTGCGTTTTTCAGCATTAGAGCATATTGACAGCTAAAAAACTCCTCTAGAAACCTACTAGTCCTGGGTTTTTTTTCCCAGCCAAAAAACGTCCCAGCCAAAAAATGTTGATGACAGTCTATGTGTGCATCTAGGATAACATGCTGGGGAGTTTACTGGCTGTAGAAAAAAAACATCAAAAGTCAAAAACAGCAGCTGTAAAAATGTCAAGTGTGCAAGGGGGCATCAATAATTTTTTTATACTGCTTCCAAATGGCCCTCAATGTTATCCTATGTGTCCATGCACACAAAGACTTTTAGACACTTTTTAATAGCAGTAGCGTTTACCAGCAGGAAAAAAAAACCCCAGGGCCAGTGCATCCAGGAGCTGCAGTGTTTTGGCAGAAAAAACGCTTGACGCAGCTAAATGCATCTAAACACATCTAAACACTAGGTGCGTTTAGCGCTTGAGAGTTAATTCATTTCAATGGCCAGAATAAAGTATCATTCTGGCCAATGAAATGAATTAATGCCCAAAGCACTTGATGCTTGTAAATGCGCCCAAAGGCTTGTACAAGCTTTAGATACTTTTACAAGCATCAGGCGTTTTTTTCTGAAAAAAATGCTACTGCCAGGAGGATGGCTTCTAGGAAAATTTTTTTTTATCGCCAGGGTGCATGAGGCCTTAGACTGCGGAACTGAAATGACTGACGGGTGTTTATTTACTAACGCTAGAGAGTTTAAAATCAAGCTCACTTCTGTATAGAAACCAATCAGCTTCTAACCTCAGCTTGTTCAATTAAGCTTTGGCAATAAAACCTGGAAGCTGATTGGTTTCTATGCAAAAGTGATTTTGCAGTCTCCAGCTTTAGTAAGTAAAACTCACTGCAACAATTACAAATTCAATTTAAATTACAAAATTACCTTAAATCCGAATTATCGAGCAAATTGGAAAATTGAATTCATTTCCCCATGGACCCCAACTACTATCACATCATGTGACGTCATCTAAATGTAATGAATGAAACAAATGCATTCATTCATTTAGTTATTACTTTTTTTGGATTCTTTGACATTTGTTACTATGTCCATTCGGAGATTTGTAAACATCCAAATCTCCGAAAACCAAATTTTCATCCTATAATCGATTTGTTACTAAATGAAACACACGTCTATCTCTCAGTACATTGTTCCCAAAGAGCTTTATGACCATCTCGTAAGCAGGGGTGGACTGACCATTTGGAAACTCGGGCACTGCCCGAGGGCCGGGGTCAGTAGGGGGCCCCATGAAATGCCCCTGGTACCTTTATCATAGGCTTTTTTGAGTTTGGGCAAGGACACAGGGGCCCCATGATCCCCTATTTCCCGAGGGGCCCCATGATCCCCTATTTCCCAAGGGGCCCCATGAGCTGTCAGTCCGCCTCTGCTCGTAAGTATCCACCTATACACTGAATCTTCAGATCTATATAATTGATGGTCTAAATTATGGGACTCTGCAGACAACTTTGTATCAAAATCATAGTGATTACCCTTGATGCAAAACTGCTCCAGGGCTGATTTGGGAATCACCTTTGAAGATTTTGATTGTGATTCAGAAAAAATATATAAACTGTAGTTCTCATGGCCTATTATTGCAATCTATGTTTCATTTTAGATTTTCTTATATAATTTAGAATAATGTGATTTCTGTCCTGACACTTTCACAGCCCTTTCGTACTTTACAAAGTAGACCTCTGATTTTGGACCTTTGCATACAACAACATAGATGGTCTCTCCCTGCATCTTTTTGTCCCTTGCGACAGCGAGGAACGCTCCCTATACTACACTGCCAGGAAGGTGCCTGCAAGTGTAATTCAGTTTCTCTTTTTTAGGCTGTGCCATCAAAAACATAAAAACATTCTCACGTGGGAGCACCAGTAGGGGTGCAAACCAAAAAGTAAAACAGCGAGTGCATGTACAAAGAAGCGTATGGTTAAGGTAGCTGCTAGCACTACAGGGCATAGGCAACCATCCCAATAAAAGCATAAAATATATAAAGTGCAGCGCTATAAAATATATATATATAAATTATTAGCAATTCATAAAAATATCTGTGTGAAATACTCAAAGTGCTATTCAGTGCAATATGTGCGTAAAATGAGTAAATAAATGTCCATATATATCCTTCCAGTTTCAACGGGAAAATACATGAGGAGAAATAGTCCTCAGATTAAAACACAATATTTCTATGTGACCAAAGTGCAGATGTGCGTATATCTTTGAAGGTAATCCACCACTTCTAATGGGTGTGCACCAGGGGCGGACTGACCATTTGGAAACTCGGGCACTGCCCGAGGGCCCGGGGTCAGTAGGGGGCCCCATGAGATGCCCCTGGTACCTTTTTCATAGGCTTTTTTGAGTTTGGGTAAGGAAACAGGGGCCCCATGATCCCCTATTGCCCGGGGGCCCCATGAGTTGTCAGTCTGCCCCTGGTGTGCACTCACCAGAACTTTGATGTATACAAGTATTGGTTACAATCTGTCACATCTGGGTGCAGAAACAGAGAAGCAGCATACTGTTTAACCTCCCTGGCGGTATTCCCGAGTGTAGCTTTTAGTACCACAAGCAGTAACCCTGAGCTACACTCAGGCTTACCATGCGGCGCTGCTCCGGGATCCCTTGATAACTTACCTTATCCTGCACTCCCGCGATGTCCCTCCAGCAGTGTCCCCTGTAATGTCCTCCGGCGGATGCATCTGTCATCTGGGTTCCGTCCCCTGCGAGCGTCGGGACGTACGGGGATGCAACGGCAGGAAATTTGAAAATGACAAAAAGTGACATTCACTAAAATAACATAGTAAAACATTACTGTATCAAACCATTTCACATACATTTTGTCCCTAGTGCTTTGTCCTGTGACCTGCCTGCATTTTTACTGTTCTTTCTGCCTGGAAACTGAGAAACGTCCATGGCATCCAAAAAGCGTCCCTTTAGGTCAAAATCGGTTTTAGACCAGCTAGAGAACAGCGATAGTAAATTAGAACCACTTGCAGAATTGAGTGATAATAATTCGTGGGGGAAATTCGTCATCAGACACTGAAAACGATTCTGTGACTTTGCTCAGCGATGTGCGAACTTGGCGCTCTATTTCAAATTTCAGTGTTTTTGGTTTGAATATATTATTGAAATAAATTTATTATTATTATTATTATTTATGATTATTTATTAAACTATAATTTATGATTTTGTGTTTCAAATTTTAACATACCCGGGATGTTTACTAGACTCTTGCTCGGACAGATTTCAGTGAGTTATTCCTAAGAATTACAGCCCTAAAATAAAAAAAATACATATTTCCATGAAAAAAAATGTACCGCTTTGAGCACAGAAATATGGACATAATCAGACCGCTAGGGAGGTTAATCATCCAGCATCCTCTAAGTATCGCTGCTGTGAATATCCTTAATCTGGGGAAGATAGCTCAACCACAGAAGCCAGAGAAATTGGATTTAGCTGTAATAAGACTTCTGTCTGCTTCGTAATTTTTTCAGTCCATACTTTTGTGCTTTCAGCCTTGCCAAGAAGGTTCTCGAGGTGGGCATCTAGCTCTGTTTTCTCTACCTATCCAAGTTTTTTCTTCTGTAAACTGCACTGCCCGGCTCAGGAAGGTGGCGGCATCAGCTGACAGTTTTTTCTCGTTGAAGTGCAAACCAGAAGATGCCAGTTTTCATGGGATACTGGGGCATGCCTTGCTTAGAGGTGCACTGAATGGCTATCCATAGTAGCTTCCCTAGAGGCTACTGTTGTGAGTGCACATCCCATCATGGTTACGATCAAGTATGCAGTGTGCATGTTCCCCACCTACAAACCTGCACAGGTAGACACATTAAGGTGTCCGTTCATGAACCAGCGGTAATAGATCGCTGCTCAGTTCCCCGGCATTCTCGGAGAACACAGTTCTCCTGTGAATGCAGTTTATGAAGCAGTTCTCCGAACAAAGGGAGAACGGTCTCCAAACGCTGGAGAACGGTCTACAAACTCTGGAAAACGGCTCATTTTACTATAATCTCGCGAGATTACAGTAAAAGATCAGTTTACTAAGCAGAGGTAAATTATCTCTGCTTAGTTTTCGGTCCCTCTGATTCTCCAGCTCTGGGCTGGAGAATCTGGAGGGAGAACACAGATCTCCAGAGAAGGGCTGACATGATCTCCTGAGTGTCATAAACTGTGAATGACCAGAGAATAGCTGAGATCTGTTGAATCGCAGCTATTCTCTGTGTCATAAACGGACACCTTAGTTCAGTAGTGATAAGCAAACCAAGCAAAGTTAGTTTCGCTAGATGTTCACGAATCCTAAACATAGTGCAGTCTATGGGATATAAATCTTGCTACTTTTTTTCTAGTCTTTTATCAAGGCTAATTTACAAGCATGAGTAGCTGGGATTTTACATGTTTGACATGTA